AATATGAATTAACGGTAACACCTGGTGTTCGCTGAGATGAGCCTCTCCTGCCCGTCGGGTGATACCCGTCTCAATGCATCATCAAATGACTCTGGTTAAGCGAATTAGGACAATACACGACGATACACATATAACGCTGATGTATGGTCTAATCATAACAATGTGTCCTGTGATATTATAATTATCATCATGAATGCATTTGGGTTGATGTTGACTAACTGGAAAAGGATCATCTCCAAACACGGTTATGGAGTTATTTTATACTACGTAAACCCTATAATAACCGTGCTTTTAAATAATGGATATAATTTATATATCAAGCAGGGGGGGCTTTATGGGATTGACATTCATCATCTAAAACGCATGTTAGGTTCATGTATTGTTCAAAATCTGCAATGTGATTTCTTTCTCAAAAAGAAAATCAGAAAAATTATTCTGAATACTATGTAACACGTATAAAACGTACTGAATACTGTGTAACATATAGAAAGTACTGAATACTGTGTAACACTATAAAACGTACTACTGAATACTGTGTAACATATAGAAAGTACTGAATACTGTGTAACACGTATAAAACGTACTGAATACTGTGTAACATATAGAAAGTACTGAATAATGTGTACCATATAGAAAGTACTGAATAATGTGTAACATATAGAAAGTACTGAATAATGTGTAACATATAGAAAGTACTGAATAATGTGCGACACACATAGAAAGTACTGATACTGTGTAACATATAGAAAGTACTGAATAATGTGTAACACTATAGTACTGAATAATGTGTAACATATAGAAAGTACTGAATAATGTGTACCATATAGAAAGTACTGAATAATGTGTAACATATAGAAAGTACTGAATAATGTGTAACATAGAAATAGAAAAGTAGAAAGTACTGAATACTGTGTAACATATAGAAAGTACTGAATAATGTGTAACATATAGAAAGTACTGAATAATGTGTAACATATAGAAAGTACTGAATAATGTGTAACATATAGAAAGTACTGAATACTGTGTAACATATAGAAAGTACTGAATAATGTGTAACATATAGAAAGTACTGCATACTGTGTACGAACACATATAAAACGTACTGAATACTGTGTAACATATAGAAAGTACTGAATAATGTGTGACACATATAGAAAGTACTGAATAATGTGTAACATATAGAAAGTACTGAATAATGTGTGACATACATAGAAAGTACTGAATACTGTGTAACATATAGAAAGTACTGAATATTGTGTAACATATAGAAAGTACTGAATACTGTGTAACATATAGAAAGTACTGAATAATGTATGACACACATAGAAAGTACTGAACACTGTGTAACACAGAAAGTGGTGAATACTGTGTAACACATATAGAAAGTACTGAATACTGTGTAACTTATAGAAAGTACTGAATACTGTATGACACACATAGAAAGTACTGAATATTGTGTAACATATAGAAAGTACTGAATACTGTGTAACACATATAGAAAGTACTGAATACTGTGTGACACACATAGAAAGTACTGAATACTGTGTGACACACATAGAAAGTACTGAATACTGTGTGACACACATAGAAAGTACTGAATATTGTGTAACACATAGAAAGTACTGAATAATGTGTAACATATAGAAAGTAGAATACTATGTAACATATAGAAAGTACTGAATAATGTGTAACACACATAGAAAGTACTGAATACTGTGTGACACACATAGAAAGTACTGAATATTGTGTAACATATAGAAAGTACTGAATAATGTGTAACACACATAGAAAGTACTGAATAATATGTGACACACATATAAAGTACTGAATACAGTATGACACACATGGAAAGTATTGAATACTGTGTAACCCACATAGAAAGTACTGAATACTGTATGACACACATAGAAGGTACTGAATATTGTGTAACCCACATAGAAAGTACTGAATACTGTATGACACACATAGAAGGTACTGAATATTGTGTAACCCACATAGAAAGTACTGAATACTGTATGACACACATAGAAAGTATTGAATACGGTGTAACACATACAAAGTATTGAATACGGTGTAACACATAGAAAGTACTGAATACTGTGTAACACACATATAAAGAAAGTATTGAATACTGTGTAACACAGAAAGTATTGAATACGGTGTAACACATAGAAAGGACTGAATACTGTGTAACACACATGAAAAGTATTGAATACGGTGTAACACATAGAAAGGACTGAATACTGTGTAACACACATGAAAAGTATTGAATACTGTGTAACACACATAGAAAGTATTGAATACTGTGTAACACAGAAAGTATTGAATACGGTGTAACACATAGAAAGGACTGAATACTGTGTAACACACATGAAAAGTATTGAATACGGTGTAACACATAGAAAGGACTGAATACTGTGTAACACACATGAAAAGTATTGAATACTGTGTAACACACAGAAAGTACTGAATACTGTGTAACACACAGAAAGTTTAACACGACACACATAACGTTAACGTATATCAATTACAAGTGTCGGTTTATAACAGGAATGAATTGCAATCATTTCTCAAGAATAAAAAGTCTGAAAACTGAAATGTGCAAAATCGTTTAATGGCTTTTTTCGAATAAAAGATCGCAGAGGACCGGTGATTATAGACAGCCGGCTGTTCTACATGAAACACTTTTGTAACCGTTCTTTAACAACTTTCCTCCCTGAAGTATCAAAAGAGTTACCGGAAATTATAGAAAATAGCCCCTTTCCAAATGTCGTTTCCAATGATTGTAATGAGTGTGTCATTATGAAATAAAACACATCTTCCCGTATAGAGTGTCGATGTTCATTTGAAATGACACTCATGTTTAACATGTAACTGTGAAATTGACGACACATTAATGCAATTATTATAAACAATAGAATGGTATATTCATTGTTCTGAATCACTACTGAGTGTGAGCGGAGAGAATCGAGAGCGGTAAAGACGGACACAAAACTACCTCTGAAATGTACATTTGTCGATTGCTGTAATGAACATGTAATTATGAAATAGATCACACGATCATTCCCCCACGACGACTACAGCGGGCGGTTGACACACACATGCACTGATGAATCATCTGTGTCATTTGCAAGCTAAATTTATTCGCAATCTTGGCCACAAAACCGTCCACACTTTATAGGTTATTGAAGCTTTTATAGGGCGAATTTCGCGCGTGGCTACCCAAATAGCACTGGGGTAAGTGTCTCGAGACCATAAACTATCGCACTTGTCAATATACAAACTGTAATAAACACAAGCGACCCGTGTAGAAACATGTAAATGAACAATGTCCGTATCAATGAAAATGATGATTGGGCCAAGCATCTTTTGTTACGTGTGTTCAAAGTCTCTCAACGTCGAGGCAATGTAACATATACCCAGTACAAGCTGTTCGGATACTCTGGTGGGGACGGGCCGTGGGGAGGGGTGACGTTTGCCCTCTGCCCTCATGCCCTCAAGGAGCACTGTGGGGGTCAGACTGTAGCCTCAGAACTTCATCGCTACCATCCCTGTGTGTAGGTCTTTAATGTTAAGGTATGGGGAAATACCAGTCACTAAGCTTTTATTGAGCATGTGTTATTATATTTCACGTTGGAAGATTTTATGAGACTGAAGGTAAAATGTAAATCAGGGTGACGGGATAGGGATTTCGTATAAAATACGCTTTTATGCCATTACCTTTGGGTACGTTGTAAAAGAATCATCGAGTTTATACGTTTTTGGTCGCCATAGCAAAACATTCAGAAATAACACAACACCCGGCTCTTAAAGTGCGTGAGTCTTTCATAGGACTAGACGGGATATTTACCAGGGATATTTTGGTTGAAACCATAGGGTGTTCATACAACACTTCCATGTATATCAGTGTCATTGCAGTTTTGGGACTGTTTCCATTTAGAAAGCGGCGTTCGTGTGCTTGTAATCAATGTGTATGGTCGTGACGAAACTAGCTTCTGTGCATGCCCCATAGACAGAAACAATCCAAGACATTTACATCCATATTTTCTTTGTTGTTTTGTCCAGAGTTGGAACTGTTTACAGTATTCTTGCCACGGGTTTGGGTATTTCGAGAATGCACGTTTAGCAACTCAAGGTTACAAATTCTGACTTTTTCAAAGAAAGCGGCTAGTTTGACCGCAGTGGTCAGGCAATTCTTGACTGACGATTCTGTTTTTAAAAGGTAGCGTTCTCAACTGCACGGCAAGCACGTAAGGAAGGGTTTACACATGTTAACAAAGTTAAAATTAGCGAAATACGCATCGCACTGTACACTCATCCACGTGGCCCGTCCGTGTTGACAACTTGGGCAAACGAAACAGAGCTTTCGAAATAGCTGATCGTTTCTGCTTACGATGACCGTCAAGGGGCACTGTGCACAAACACCCTCTCCCGTGGTCATAGCGAGTGGTGTTCGTGGCGGGACCCACCATATTCTTCTTGAACACACCTTCGTATTGACACAGCTCTGATTTCAGAGGCAGCTCGTCCCGGTGTGTGTACAAACGCACGCCGCGTTCGGGTAATATTGTCACATATATGTGTTGACATTGTATTGAAGTTGTGTGGCCGGTGAATTACTTCGGTTGACAAATCAGGGCTCTCCTATTACAATTTAATGCTTCCATTGTCCGCAGTATATGCAGACAGAACTTAACTCTGGTCGCAGAATTCGCCTCCCAGAATTTCTGTTTTCTAAAGTAAGCGATAGTGTTTGTTTGGCGAAAGCGAAATGAATACCCAATGCCTTCTCCGTGGCTATATTAACGGATAATTATTCACTTGTCTTCCGTCTAAATCGCGAAGGCAAACACGAGATTCAGGAGAGCTCCCTTATCGCTGTCAATAAGCACTGCGTGAAAAAGGGGCGGTGTTATTGGCCGCGACCAGCGAGAGGCGGAGCCTAGCGAGAGTCATTACTAGTCGATCAACTTACAGCCGTGACGTCAGGTTCCCGAAAACCAATGAACATAGGGCTTTTGTTGGAGTAAAAATGCGCTAAAAAGCTGCTCTATTGGCGAGATTTAGTTCATAATAAATAACGAATGATTCAATATTGAGGGGAGACATTTGGTTTTGGTGAATCTTAGGTTGACCGGTAGCTCTCTCGCGTTCCTGTTGTTCTAGGATGTGTCTAGAGTCGACACAGTTTTTGTGATTTGAGTTGTGGGAAACACGCATCGAGACTCTGGGAGTACGTTTCATTGGACCGCTAGCTACCGGAGCGGTCAGTCTTTATCTGGACACACTGGACTTAGGAGAGTGGTCAGTGTAAGGTTATGTCTTTCCCCCAACTTTCAACATTAAGCTTTGCATCCAGCTCGGGTTCCCCACTGACAAGTACACAGGTAAGACAGTGTATGGTGGCAACACTTCAACGATACGGAAAGAATTCAAACTATTTGAGGAGTTTAGCCTCTAGGTCTTTTACTTGGGGAAACGTCCCCCGTAGTTTGTGTACTCATACGATTGATGGGTTTGCTTAACTGTTACAAGCGTTTCATGACAGTTGATTTAGAACGTTTTTTTATTTAAGAATTTATACAAGATGCAGATTGGGATTAATTTCATGTCAATTTCATGAAAAATTTTTACACGTAAATCTAATGTTGGTTCAGTTGGTTTAAAATAACACTATATGTTTCTTTACAATCGTTTGTTTTTGTAAATTAATCATTTTAATTTGAATATTTCAGACTGTATTTTATTGTATTAATATATTAGCCAATTTGTGTTATTTGTATTTTGATATCCTATAAATGCATCATTTTATCATTTATTTTACGATGATATTACAATGCATGGCAATCGTAACTAGATCAACAGTGATATGTAGTAAATAAATAAATTCTAATATTTACTTTCGAGATAATACAACGAATACAAATGTCAGTAATAGTTGTATGTCGTTGCTGTAATGATGGCCACATGGATTATAGCACAGAGTACAACAAGGGGCTGATATATAAAACTACCCTCATTAGAAGATCTGCTTTCCATAAAATCCTGGCTCTGTTCGATGTCATCATGAATGGACATGACAGGTGCATTATGACTAGAACGTTGTGTCAGGGTAAAAGAAGTATATATTTTTTAAATTACGTTTCTGAATATGCATTGGGGATGTTTCTTATTGATGTCCGAAATTTTATATTTTGCATATGTTGTCTAGATTTCTTAATATATAACTCACTGTCATGATGGACCTTTAAATATAACCCTACCTTGTGTGTAATAATACTCTTTATTTATAGTTTTCGTTATAATGAAATTTAATTATATTTCAATTCTAGGAAACATACCAGTGTCAACAGTATAATCTATCTGCACCCCACCCCAGCCCATATACATTGCTGTCTCCCCTTACCCCCGCAAAGTAGCTCCCCTCATAAATAGCTGTTCATTTTCCCATCTTACTCAAGTCAGCCCCACCCCAATACATCACAATTAAGTTATTTTTTGTGTTCCAGATGACTACGACCACGCCCGCCGCCCCCACCCCCCGGGCATGTTGTGAAAATGGTCGGCCGATCATGACTGACCCCCACACGGGTCAGACTATATGTTCCTGTCAGTATGGCTCTGCCCTCCTAAACTACCCCCGAGTCCCGGGGCTGGCAGAGAGCGTGTACAGCGCCTCTGCCTACGCTGCTGCAGTGTCACAGGGGTACGTGTCACTCGGAGCCGAAGGATCAGCCTTCTATTCACCCCTCGTAAGTATATTTATTAAAACAACAACAATCATATTCATATCTTAATCTCTTACAGAAATCCTTATAATCCCTCTCATCAAATATACCTGAATGAAAATAACCATTTTACTCGAGAGACAGTTTAGTTGTAATGGACATGATTTGATGTAAGTCAAATTCGTATTTGATTTAATATTCATGATATCTTGATCGATGAATTTCTTTGTTACCAAGCTGAGAAATTCGTGAATTATTTATTTTAATCGGGATTAATTTCATTTGTTATCATTATATTTAGACTGTAATAGAAATAAATAAAAATATGTAGCTAATAATAGTTTTAAAATGGGAATCGACAAAATACATACATATCAAAATATCAAAACAACTCCAATTTGACAGTAAACTATCCCTGTTAAGCTCATTTCAAGAAAGAAAAAAAGGTGGAAAACAGTATCAATATTATTTTCAAACAAACCGCCCTCTTAGTAAGAAAATCCCTTAATTAAGTGTTGTAATCGCTCTCGGAGGAGTTCAAACCGGCACTCTAAGAGCCCCCAAGTCGTGAAAGGGTTCAATGACTGTGTTGGTGTGTCTCAATTTCACGCTTTTGGCCACTTCTTCAGTTATCAGTCACGCTCGAAGCCCCTCCGTACTCCCGAGCGTTAGCGCAAGAGGAACTCGCATGGCCCCAGCAATTATTTAACTATTATCGGTCACCATGGTGGCCCGATTTCGACGAAAGCGATAAACAAGGGATAATAGTACTTTCGGATACAGCTGAATAAAGCTGAATTGTTTGTTTATTTATCAGAATGTCATATTCGTGATTTGTTGGCTGTCAGGTGGATATTTAGTGTTATTAATCAAACCTGGTGGCAAAAAGGACTCGTTTTTAATTAAAATAAATATTTATGATTACTTAAATTTCTTTGGATAATTATGAGATTTTATTGAAGGGTATTCTGTCTGCTACAGTCTCACTGATAGATAATAGTACCTATCGTTCATTACGATATCTCAATTTCAGTGAAATATCGGTTTTGATCAGTTTCATTGCTCGTTGAATAATTTTCTTTCCAAGGAGTACGTGATCACGTACTTAATTACATACTGTGGTCTGTGTAGATAACTTACTTCGTCTTTAGTGCAAATATTAATTATCAATTTACATTCAATACTTGTTTTGATAAAAATGATGAAAGGCCGGTTTCCTGGAGATGAAATCGAATATATTTTCATGTTCTCTTTAAAAGAGAAATTGTTTTGTAAATATATTTCTCATTCAATATTTTATTCTAAATTTAGACTGGCACCCCGTATGACTTGAAAGACACGTCAGAGGCATGGCGAACTGCTTTAGCACAGCCAGGGTTTCCTTACGACCCAACAATGGCGGTGTACCCTTACGGACCAGGGTAAGTTCACTGATTAGAATACTATGTAGCATTTTTTGCATATTAAATTAATTTGTTTCTATTCCAATAGACAATAAATACAATTACTTCTAACATTTTACAAAAAACTCAAAGATAATATTAAAACTAGTACCATCTCTGAAAAAATGTGTAAACAGAAACGGCCGACTTTTACTTCCGCATCAGCGCTGTGATCTTGCTGAAGCCACGTGTAGTTTAGAATGTAAATGTACTATTAATAAAATATGCAACATTACTAATGTCTGTGTGTGATTGGTTTTATCACCTTTATCAAAATACATATTTTAATTCCAGATACGGCGGCTTAGATTTAAACGCAAGGAGGAAGAACGCAACTCGGGAAAATACGAACACTCTGAAAGCATGGTTATACGAACACAGAAAAAACCCATACCCAACAAAAGGTGAAAAGATTATGTTAGCCATCATTACCAAAATGACTCTCACACAAGTTTCCACGTGGTTTGCTAATGCCCGGAGAAGGTTAAAAAAAGAAAACAAGATGACCTGGTCCCCACGGAACCGATCCGAGGACGGAACGGACAGTCTGGACGGGAACGGTGATGGTGATTCAGACGCTGGGAAGGACGACCACAACGATTCAACGTCAAACGCCGGAAATATAGACGATCTCGACAACATCGACTGCAACGACAGGTCCTTGCTATCGCCAGGTAGGTAGCGGTTTGTTAAAATTGTTGCGGAAAAATCCTGTTCTTTTAGTTATTTTTAAATGCAATTATACCGTGTGAGTGGTAATTACAAGGGGAGGTAACTCTACCTTTTGACGTGTTTCTTTACGCTGTCTACTTTTTGAACTTGAGATTGTTGTAATTTTTTTAAGTGTGACACTTTGAAATTTTAATTCATTTTATTATCGTATGTCGTTTCCACGACTTGTGAGAAATTAGCAGTGGAACACGTTCTCTTAATGTGTCTGTAGTAATGGGATTTATTGTGATATAAACATATGTGCTATGAACCTATTTTTCATCAAAAGAAATGCCTTTAATGTGGAAGCAATTTGTATTGGGGTCCGTTTTTACATGTATTATAAAAATATATTATTGAAAAAATTGAAATGTTTTGGCCGATATGGTTACGTTTTTTTGACAGTCATTATCCGAACGTGACACGCCTCGTGCCAAAATACGTGACTCGCAAATTCATCACCTTCTTTCCTCTGCGGTGTACCCCCGACCTATGTTTTAAGTATTTATTTATCTTGGGAGGGCCATTACCTAGTATTGCAGCAACATAACTCGAGCTATTAATATCATAAACTTGGATGGGCCTGTTAAGTAGGTTTAAACTGCTGTAAAGCGAGCAATGAGCTCCCGCACTATATCATATGTGTGTTATTGTCGATCGGCGGTCATTTAAGCTGGTTTACTGCATAGAGCTGCCTTCATTCACAAATGGTGTATATTTCACTAATGGCTGATAACGACATGAAACTGACATGGTGTCGGTGTATAAATGAAAATATGCCATAGCATTTTCTTCCTATTCAACGTACTTACAATCTTTTAAAAACATTTTGTGAAGACAATTCTCCCTGTGTATCAATTTAGTGATTTATTTATCAGCATAATTGTGTTTTCGAATTGTGAAATGAACAAGCCTTGAAATTGACAATATTTGATCAACACTTGAATGATGTAATAAATCTGCTATCGGCGACAAAAGTTATTGACAATGCTCATCAGTCCAATAATCTGAGGATGTTTTTTGCCCGACTCTCATTTGCTAATGGGGTCTGGTTTCAGTTACGGAGTCGAGCTCTCTGATTCATGAAAGTGAGCGTTAGCAGCATTGTGACTTCACAAAGGCGGGACGTAATTGTATTGCAAACAGACTGCAAATAAATTAATCAAATATTTGATTAATTGATTTTGCCTTCTCTTTAGCGGTGAGGATGCAAACTGTCCTTTTGGTACAGAGCGCCTCGGATTGAGTTAGACTTGGGCGATTATGTTCCTCTAACGGCTAATGACAAAAGCATTTGACACCCCTCGCAGCGACATCTAGCGGATGAAATTGATACCCTTCATTACGCTGCCTGTCAGCTGTCTGACCGAAATAGACAACAAAAGATGAAGCCTGTTTAATTTAGGTTATCGATTTACTCTCCTGTTTAGGGTTTTCAAAAATTTCGCTAAAACTTCCAGTGAAAACTTCTTCCTTTTATTGCTCAATTGAAATCGAATTGTTTTCGAATTTGTGATTTTTCCCGTCGTTCAGTGAAACAGCGTTTTGTTGTGATCAAGGAAAGAGTGGTGTTTAAAATGTAATTTATAGGCTAGGTTGATTAAAATCATCCTCATCATATTGGATTTTTCTTCACTGCATTAAGAGTGTAAATACGAGTTAATATGCATCATATTACGATTAAATTGCGTCGGTTATCAGGAAATATGTTGTGTTGGATTTCATTTTGTCACTGGGCAAATACGCGTATTAATTCAACATTAACATACATTTTATTATTTATTTTCAATTAAGCACATTAACGTGGGATAGAGTAAACAGACTAACAGCTGTTTTTCATGCCTTATGTATCAATGGGAATCGTCTCCTTATTATTTTAATGCAATCGCAAATCTTATTATCATGATAATACCAGAAATGGATATTTCGTAAAAACAAAACCAACAAACTAGCTTTGATATAATTCAGTGAAGTAGTGCTATCGTTACTGATCAAACGTATTGAATTAGGAAACACTTTCAGCGCCTATTGACGGGAATATTATCACGAAACATTATACAGTATAAACACACGTCTTTGTTTGTGATGGGGTGTATTTGAGCCGGGTTTGTTGTACAATCATATTTAAGTTGCAGGTATATAAAACTCATTTTTCTCCAGAGAACAAATATGTCGTGTGGAGATTAATATCAGAATTTATATGTATTTTCAAAAGCTAATCGTATTCATGATATAGGGGATATGTCATACATGATTTAAACTCGTGACGTGTATGGTAATAGATATCACAATATATTGGACATGAATATAAAAATATATTGACTGACGTGTTGAATACTAAGACGGGTGGTGAATACATGCGGGACATGTCCAACCAGCATTGAATAACAGAATGTATCGTGTTGTACACAATATTCAAGCCCTCTAGGCGAGACATACAACAGTACACACATCTCGTCAGAATATCAAACAAACTTTAACAGTAATGTTTTGTGAAATATACAAACCCATTGCACTTTTACCAAAGTACAGAACACCGTGTGTATATTTTGTGTTTTCATGAACTACAGCCTACTTTGGTAGAGCATAACAAAACAAATATCCCCATGTAAGTTTCATGAAATAGCGAGGTTTTTGTTAGTTTCACCAGGTATAATACTGCATTAACTTTACCAAGTGTCACATTTCTTGTTAATTTCAACAGGTAAAACCTTTCTTTTTAATTTTATCAAGTCTCAATTTCTTGCGTATTTCATGAAATCAATTTTTGTGTGAATTTCAAGTGCACGCCTCCATTGCTTGGCGGAGAATGTATGTTGTCAGTTGCATGAAATAGACCATATCTAACACGGTAATGCACCGAGAAGAACTGCAACAGACACCGACTGGGTATTAAGGGTTTATTTACACACACCACAAATCACTCACCCATAAACGCCAGCCCTTGATCTTTCTGCGTCACTAGAGCCTTTCAATCAAAGTAATTAATACCGATAATGATGGCCAATATCAATTATACATTGCTTCAGTGGGCTCTCTTCTTTAATCTAATGCTCTGCGGCAATCTGGGCTGGAGTCACCCGTCTATTGTTCTCAAGCGTTTACCTGTAACCGGGAGATTCTAAGGGATCAACTGAACCACGGGAATATGCAAACATTCTCCGGCCGAGCCGTTACGATGAAAAACAGAGGAGTCATTCGTGCAGTTGAGTTGTCTGAGGGTCGCAGGGGTTCCGATAGCGCCGTGGGGAGCGTAAGCGATAGGGTCGAAAATGCGGGGTGGGGCGTGGGGGGAAGAGTGGAAATGTTGTGGGGAGAACATGGGTGGAAGAGGGCCAGTCCAGGGTGCTGTACAGGTGTTTGAGAGGGACGTGGTGGGATACTGGGGGTATTGGTGAGGTGACTGGTAACCTGGCAGGGTGATGGGGTGCGTTTCTGTGTGTGGCGTGAGAGGTGGTTATGTTGGGGTGATGCATATTGGAGTAGGGGTGGGGTGTGGTGATGGTGGTGTGTGTCACGTGGTAGATACTGACTGTGTGATGTAAAGAACACTTGGGTGGGTACTGAGGGTCTGGTTGGTCAAGGACAGTGGGATCTCGGGTGGCATTAAGTCAAAGAAGTTATAAATTAACGGTTATAGATTAAAGGGTGACCAAAGTTTAGCGTGAAATAGTGATTTGCTGGAACTGGAACCGAAGTAACTTTGCATGCCACTTCACAATTACAACTTTCACTAAACATATGTGACATAACATTCTTCCGGGATATAAAAGAGTTAGTCGTATGAATGCCACAGAGACATGGTTTTACCCACTGTTGCCATGGAAATAACCGTACATTAAGTAAACTCTTAACCAAACTGTCTACACCCCACGTTATCAACTGATGTACGTTTTTCTTCAAAACGTCACACGCTATTTATTATTATTAATAACCGTTTCATCTCGGTTCAACCCCCAATATATCCTCGGGGCCACCATAGACGATAGGTCCCCCTTCCCCCGCAACGTTTCGTATCAAGTTACACGCAGTTCTAGCGCCTCTAAGCTGCTGGCAGTCACAGCCAAGTCGAGTTATCACAAGTTTGTGGAAAACGGCACGAAAAATCCTTTTATCGAAACAGTTACGATTTAGCAAACGGATCTTATGTGCCTAATCGCCAAATTTAACAACTATCAGATACTTTTTACTTGTTTTCATTTTGCAAGCAAGAATGTTCTGGCTATTTTCGTAAACAATCTGTTAAGAATTTTGGAAGTTCGCGTACATTTATCGTTGATCATCAGTTGTTTTCTGTTTTATAGTATGGCCTCGTTGTGATCTCGGGGTCTCGCGCATTCTGTGGTGTTGTTGATAAATCTCTATATAGCTGTTAGAATGTGCATGTGTGACTCTCGAATCGTCTTGAGATTTGTTTACAAGTAATAGTATATCTCACCCTTCCCGATACAAATCGTGATAGGTCCAAAAACACGAATTTCTTCCAGAAACAATTTAAGATTTATTTTTGAAACACGCCATCAGTATCTGATTGAGGAGAAAGAAGTTGTAATATATGAGACAATTCTTTCTCCTATTTCAATAGTTTGACAGTTTTACTGTACTGGGATGGAGTGCAACTCTGTTTCATTTGATGAATATGTGTACGTACAAAGTGTTTAATATCAGAATAGGAAGCAAGTATATGAACAATTATCACAACAATGCTAATATTCCCTGATGCATTTACGTCCGAATAATAGTAATATTTATGTTAATAAATCCAATAAATATCAAGGTAATACATGTCTTTTTAAAATATTTGCACTGGCTTTCATGCACGTACTTTTTAGTGAAATTATTATTTTGTAAATACTAAGTCATTAAATATATGTTAATGATTTTATCATTAAAGGCCTGGGCGTATGCCATCGTCCACACTAAAAGCATGAAGGTATGAATATATTTGTTCGAACTGAGTATCAAGTTATGAATATATTTGTACGAACTGAGTATCAATTTTATTTCGATGTCGTTAAATAAATTGAAATAAGACATATCCTTAGATTTTTCGAGTATATTAAACAAATGCATTTTGTCACCTCGAAATCCCTACATTCTAAAACACGTCTCGATTTCCTTGCTATAAATCATTCACGGCAAGACAAATATTGTCAAAGGAAAACAAGAGATCTTCAAATCAAGATTCTGTCAAACGGTTTATCACAGCGCACGTCCCCCGTGGATTCCATCATGGGATGTCATCCCAAATCCCCTTCCCCTAATCCGTCGGATTAACCCTGGATCCTGGTTGATATGGTCTGCCCGACTGCCATAGCCCAGTACATATCCGGTCGCCGCTGCAACCCACCTTTTTCGTGTTTTGCCGAGCTAGTTGTCCATTTCATTCTTGTCTTGTCAGTTTCAGTGCTAACGGCTACTGTTCTATTACTCACAGTGCGAGTTTCATGGAGCACTGCCAGGGATAGCTAGTCTCAGGGGTGTCTATTTCGGGATTAGGTCATAAGAAAAAACAACAGCACTTGGTGCACAAGATAACAATTTCATTTATTATCTGCTTAATTTTCCAGTTTATTTGTTTACTGACTTTGCCGTTAATTCTCACCAGTTTGCTAAGACAAATGAAACTAATAATTGATATGATATTTAAGGAGTGAGTTTAGTTTTACGCCGCACTCAGCAATATTCCAGCTATATGGCGGTGATATTTAAGGAATCGGTCTATAATAATTAATATCATATTCAAGGAATCCGAATAAAATAATTTTGAAATGATTAAGCAAATATTGGCAGTAGGCCACTTGCTAAACTGAATTTGATATATCTTCTTGGGTCATGTTTATTCAACTTTAGATACTAAGCGTGTATATTTCCAACTAGCCGACTCTGTACAAAGGCCAACGAGGCACAATTACGCATGCTTTCCGTGACTCATGTGTGTAATCCTTTGAATGAATATTGATATCTAACTTTGATTGATCTATCGATCACACGTTATTGATTGACTTGTTACAACTGTCAGTTCCCCCACTGAAATACACAACCATGTCAATTTCAGTACCGGCAGAGAGACGTACCTGGTATGCGCTGACACCGGGGTTGTACATGACTGTTTAATCAGAAATAAATAACTATTCCTTTGAAATATACACTCTCAGAAGGGGAACTCGACAGTGAAAAGATTTAATAAATCATTTGATGTATAGAATTTAGACTCCCGGAGTACAATCCTTAAATGAACAAACACGAGTCTGCATTTATCAAATTGACGTAAACGTTGAATAGGCGACACATAGATATGAAATTGCACACACATTGAAAATGACATACATACATCGCACACAGACATTCATTTATTAGTACATCGCCCTGAACTATATCCAAAAGTACTTGGGCTTTACGTCTTGCATTGAGGACATGTTTTCAACAGGATAATGTCGGTTATGCTTTGTCGGCTAGCAGACCGGCATGTTATCTCCATTCGTTCTGTCAATTCATGATATAAACGTCTTTAGATAATATTCATATTTCATATTAGAGACTCGGAACATGTGGATAGAATTGACTCAATGGGGAAATGCGTATTGGGTTAAATGAAGCGTGATATCGCCGTACAGAAACATTCAAAGATCTTAAGCGACACGATGAGGGCCGGGACTGCTTGTGTGAGACTTTATATTCAAAAGCTGGGGTCTTTGCAAATGTAATTAACCCTTTCCATTTCACAATAAATCTTTCAGATAGTCTCCATTTATAGTTTCAGTAATAACCTAAAATACATAAAGACTCCTAAGAGTGATGATATTATTTGATCTTGATGTGTTTTAGTCAAAGAGAAATATTGAAGGTTTTATTTGAAATCCAGTTAGGCGGAAAATTTATAGGGTTAACCAAACTCTAAGTACTTTTTATGAAAACGAACAGTTGCGAAACATGCACCAGTTAAACCGACATGGTTAAATTTACATGTTTCGTCACAAATGGCGCACTAATCGATACAATCTTTAGAAAATCGTATTTTTTCTTCAATGATTTCCTATTGTGTAAATGAACGTTTTACACAGTTTGAGCTTCTGATACAAAACTGGCTTTGAGAGAATAACCAAACTGAATAATATATGTAGATGGCGTGTTTCGAAACCGATACAAATTTCAAGTCTATTTAGTGAAGTTTGCTTATTGATGAAAAAGTTATTTCTACGCAAATACGCTGAAAGAAATATCTGTAAACTATCTGTGAGTGTTTGTGAGACATAGCAGATCTTTAGGCGGAGTCTTATCAGAGCGATGCCACTTCATAACTGAGATCCGGTTCCAGGACAACTTAATTCAAAGTTGACGGATCAGTGGAATAGGCAACAGAGTTAGGCCACCCTTGCCAAAATGGCGATTTCAACACATGTAATAACAAGACATCCCACCTTTGACATCCCGATATTTGGAAGGAATTTCGGAAAGCTGTAAAAAATACTAAGCCCCAGACAGGAGCATTGGTTTTTGCTTTCTCGAGTGTTTTGTAAGAAATCCTCACTCGTTAATCGTATCCACTCGTTTGCCCTGGCCGCGGAGAGGATATTTTTCTACATGTCTTCAAGTGTCAGAGAAAAATGCCAAATAATGAATCGTGGTTCCTCGCCTACTTAAAGTGTAATGTATTCTAAAAATGATGTTTTTTGACAAAACGTTTAGTTTAGGCCTGTCCTATCTGATATACCGGCAGTTTACTGACGAGAACAAGCCTATGGTTTATGGAAGCAATGTGGCAACATGCTCAATCTTGTTAACCAAGGGTTTGGCCGTAGGGGACTAGAGAAATAGGAATAGTGCAAACACGAGGTGATGCAAAGGGTTTCTGTTTTCTTTAGCAGGTTTTGATTTAAACATATTTCATAAGTATTGGATTTATGTTTTCGAACAGAAAACTATTAAAATATGTATGTATCTTGCGGTTTTGGTTTTAATCATTTTAATTGTGGTGATTAGTGGCTATGTATGTATCTTGCGGTTTTGGTTTTAATCATTTTAATTGTGGTGATTAGTGGCTAAATTAATTTTTGTTTATGGATTTTCAGATATTTCCTCAGACAGGGATGAAGGGAAGGAGGGGATCATCAACGTTGAAGATGAGGATTCGAACCACAGCTTCAGGGAGGAACTGTTGCATAGGAATGCTGTGTTGGACGCGAAACTTGCAGCTGTGAACAGTGAAAGACTCCTTCGGGAGCGAGCAGAGGACAGTGGCGACGAAACATCGGACAGTAAATCTGACATCCCTCATCCTCCAACCACCCAGGGGGAGGAGAGTCGGTCATCCTCGGGAGGTGTGTCTCATCCCGTGTGTGGGAATCAACCCCCGACCCCCAGACCCAAAATTTGGTCAATATCTGAAGTGCTGCAGTCAACGACATCTTCTAGTGCAACGAACACTTCACGACCAGCAACCATCTCAACCCAAGCCCGACCCAACTCGGGATACCTATACCTCCCCACATCCAGTCCCTCCTGGGCCGCAGGGCGGTATCCGGGGGTAGCGCACCACCCACTATCACTCGCCCATACTACCTTGTCGTACCCCTACTCGTTGAGCACCCACACGGCAGCCAAACCCTCTTTAGCCTCAGCCGCCGCCCAGGTCCGAAGTCTGGAAGCACTGAGGGAGGGGGAGAAGGCGTTAAGGCCTAACGGACTCTTCTCACCTGCAAGAGACATTGATGGCATCAGACCTTCAGGTGAGCAACAAGGTTTTATTAAGCCGTATAATCCGTGTTCTTAATTTCCAGCTTGATTGAGAAATTACGGGTGTGGAAATAATATCTGAATGAAAATAGTAAGTGTTGAGGTTTATGCACGTATGGTACAACCGTATTGTACTTTTAAACAAGAAATTATTATTATAGATTTATTTTGAGTTATTTATTAATTACAATCATAAAAAGAGAGAGAAATAGGAACATAAAAGACTCGCGCATACAAATAGATTCGTGAAGATCCTGGTTAGAATTCGTCTTCAGTAACCAACGCTGGTCGTAAGAGATCGGGTTGTCACACTCACTCACTGACTTGGTGGATGTCATCGTATCCCAATTGCGTAGATCGATGCTGGATTGTCTGGTCCAGACTCGATGATGTACAGACCGCCGTCATGTGGATGGAATATTGCTGAGTGCGTCGTTACACAAACAAAACAATACCTAAAAATAATATTGCTACTACCCCTTCCCCCTCAAAATACCCTCCCCCCAAAACAAACAGCAGCACAATAAAAACAAGGCAAAAACAAAACACAAAACAGACTAGAACTTACCAAATGTACTTAAAATAAAAAAATATATTGTCAAACCAAATAGTACCCAAATTTTCTTTTCAAATGAATCAAGCCACAGATTATCGTTTTTAGAAGAAATCGAACTTCTTCATACCTAGTCTCTAATTACTTGTCAAGTCTGCCACACCTATCCACCCCGTTTCATTAACACCACCCTTAAGTGAATCCACCTCGTTTCAGTGATACCACCACCCTCAAGAGAATCCACCCCTTTCAAAGAACACAAACATCACTGATGAAGGGATCAATTATTAATAACTATTATATCATATACAGAAACAGGGCGTTGCTGAACCAATATTGGAACCAAGAATATCACACGGTGCAAGAGAGTTAACAAAGGCATATTGATGATTAATATAGTACCAAACATGTATTATACCATGTGCTATTCAAACACTCTCATTAAGACTTTAGTAAATTCTCATGAATATTTGTCATAACGCACGATTTACAACGGTATCTAACATGCCGACCGATCTGATTATCCGAGTCCAACGCCATTAGACGCCCTCAGTGCTTGCCTCGGATGGACGGGGCCATTACTCGAAATCGAAACATAAATAATACGCTTGTATCTAAGAACACGTCTCGCCCAGACAGAAGTTAACTTGTAATGCTAAAAATATATCGAACCTATTGGCAAATCAAGTGGCAAAGTTTTCCCAGGTTTTTGAGCCATGGACGCAATCAACGCAGCCCACAGACTGTATTGACGCTTGTTCCATTCCATCTTTTGTGCCAGAGCCTGAAAAAGGAAAAATAACTGGTTTTACACAAGTCGTGCGGTGTTTACATGCTTTCCTAATAATCACACTAACATTTCTGGTAGACCGGGACAATAGCTATCTGACAGCATCCCTTCTTAAGACGGCTGATTTTTCTACTTGATTAAGCGACGTCAAACGTCGAAGCGAGCATCGTAATTGAGTATGTTTTTGCGATAAGGGTCGAGCGAGCACGACGTTTGGCCTCGGGTCCAAAAACAGTCATTACTGGTCATTTAGCATGATCGCGTCACGAGCCGTATTGTTAAGAGCAAGAACTCCACGGTCGTTCTGTTTCCTCCCGCGCTTCAACCTCGCGTCTTAAATCGCGATCTCTAACCCATGTGGCATTTAGACCTCTGCTCATTTCCTCTTAGCTTGGCGTTCGACGCCCGTCTTGATCCTGTATTGTGGTCCCATGGGTTAGACAATGCCACGGACAAGCTTACTCCTGCTAGGAAAGGCTCCTCGCGCCTCCACTAATCCTTAGACAGGAAATTTTGACGGCGTGTTCTGGCTGTTTGAAATTGAATGTAATTTGCAGGACTTAATTCGAATGCATGTAGAAAAATCAGTCACCGTCTCAAGACCAAGACAACTCGCCGGTATTACTAATTTACGTGGGATTGCCTTTGTATCTTTCATTAGTAGGCCACCGACAAGCCGTTCTCTGTCAAAGCATCTTTTTATATCAATTTCACATGTCAACGTCGTAATAGCTAATAGACCTGACTCAAATAGCCAATTTATCATTGTACGTTTGTAATGATTTCGTTTCCAGGCTTGTTGGTCTCAAATTAGAACCACCTTGGATTACTTTCTTATAGATAAAAACAAACAAATGTAAGTTCCCATCTTCGATTAGCCTGTGTAACATCCCCATTCTATTATGCTAAATAGCGGGTCTTTCATTAGTGAAAGTCGGTTTGAGCAGTGACTTCGCCATTTCCTTTCCTATTGGGAAATGTCCGCAATGAATGTAATTTGATAAGACGGTTGTTTTAGCGCCCTGACCTCCGAATCGAACCTAAAACTCGAACGGATCCTCAACATTCGTCAAAATGATATGGAGCTGAAACACCCCAGATAATATGGTGGATTAGTTCCAAGTTACGTAATTCTTCTCATTTGACAACATCCGTCGACCAAACACACCTATGTGCCCTGTATCCGAACTGTAACAATTTCACTGTAATGTAAATCTACTTCTAAAGTTATTAACACAATAGTGCCTCGACCCGATGTCAAGGTCACGGTTTTCTCGCGAGAACAAAGGGGGATAACTACATACATAAGCACGAAAAATGACGGCCTTTCACAATGTATAGCACATTTCGCGAAACAATGCTAGTTCATCATGTTTTAAAAGTGTTACAACGATGATTAACTAGGACATTAAAGGTTTAGGGCGACACATATGTGACCCCCGTGTCTCAAGGTCACGTGGAGGGGCTTTTGCAACGCACATAATTTATTCTGCATGACCGGTGGCGTTTATATATCAGGCTTACAAAGGCTGTATGCTTGTCGAGGACTACAGAGAGCGGTGGCAGATCCCCGCGAGATAAACATTCCACCTTTTCATTTCTCTAATAGATTTCAGTGTCAAAGTTCGAGATGGGACCATCAATTTTCGAGCAATGACATAACGCAGAGGAGAGCATGCAACGCCATTAAGAGATAAGACAACAGGGCGATCGACTAAGCAAGGGCGATAACCCCATTGTTTATTCGCGTCAGCTTTGAAAGATTGATATTCGTAAAACTGTATATTTGTGCCATTTCACGCTGACGTGTTGATCCTAATGTTTAGGATAAATGACATGGGAGTTATATTTTACATTGTAAATTTCTAACAAAGCATTGTTCGTATTTCATAAATGTCAGTCAATCATTTTTCATCCTTTGAACCAATCACAAAAGTTTTTTTATTCTATCCATTAATTATAAGAAATAACTCGAAAAGTTTTGAGTTTGTTTTGATTATATCTTAGCAACGAAGTTACATATAATATGTTCATTTAGTTCAGATCGATTTTTTAAAGAACAGAAACTCTTTTCTTCTGTTTATAAGTCCTTAAATCGTTATGTTAAGTGATGAATTACATTTATAAAACTCATCCATTACTTCGCGTAAATTCATTGAATGACCAAACAGTGTTCATTTAGCTGTCGTGGTAAAATGGCCCCAGTAGCCTTTTAACCTAACCTTTGAATTCCCAGTCGAAGCCATTTGGTCTTAGTCCATAAATCATGTAATTCAGGTGACCTCTTCTCTGACAAATTTGCCATAAACTGTTTGAAAATATCGAAACAAAAATTTGTATAGGGCCACAATCGTTGTTATACAAAGAATATGAAATCGCAACATGATTAATGGAGATAATGGCTTGTCCAGACTCGTCGTGCTCTCTGTTTTGGACAGACTGAATGTAACACGCGCAGATTTATTCACTGTTAATTGAGAAATGAAAGCTTTTGCGATACACTGACCACCGTTTGGGCTAATCAAACCAAGGAGTTTATTGCAGTTTAGAAACTCGGGCCTAACTAGATTTCGCGCATGAGCAGTCGAGAGCAAAGGCCGGCGGACGGTCTTTGACATGGATTCGAGGCTAAGAGCAGCTCTTAACCCTCGAACCGGACAAATTTCAGATCAATAATTAGAAATAATGGGAGTCTTCAATTGAGGCTTTTAGACAGAGACCCACAAAGGATCGGCTTTAGGTAGCGTGCTTCTGCACACTGTTTCTGCTGGGGGTCGGGAAAGGGGGTTTGGGTTCGAACGCCCGCCCTTAAAAGTGCCCCTCTTGCCAGCCCAGATGGTCCATGCCAAACAATGATCTTTGTGAATGAATAAATGGATTTCCTAACTGATAAAAAGAGCTTATGAGTTAATTTAGCAGGTCTCTCAACAGATTTTGGCCGGGGTCAGGTTCGTTAGATCAAAGGCCCTGGACCTGGCACTTCGGGTAATTCCGCTCTGGCGGACTAACACGAAATTTGGGGGTTAAAATAGGAAAGCGCTAGAATTCCCAGCCTGGTTAGAATGGGGCACAGTCACGATTCCGAAAGCCAATAGATCAAACGTTTAATATAACGAAATTGCATCCGACAATTTAAAAAGGTTGAGGAACCTCTGAAGTAATATTCTTAGAGGTAGTGTAGCCATTTCCTTGAACAGCCATTTGTTCGATCTGTGGGGATAGGGATTAAACATTAAATGGCTTTATCGTCCTTTCTCCTGATAATTATCAAACAGGGGTTTAATTTTGAATAGCTGAATTGCTAAATTTGAGAACGTGTTAAATTGTTTCTAAAATATTTATTAATTAATTTATTTGTGCAAACATACACCATTAGGGTTCACTGGGTTTAATGTTTGTTTTTCACAGCGTCGAAGCGTTTACGCTTGTTTTAGTATTTTTCTTCTCTCACACTCTCTCGTCATAATATTTTACAATTTGAGAAAACGTTGGCCATTTGATTAAGGTATTGGATCGTTTAAAGATAACATATACCCCGCGTGTTTGTTTACGCAGCGCCACGTCCCATTAAATTCCAGCAAATAATTTACATATCGTTTCAAATTTTATTTTCTTTGCTAGGAAACTAAATGACACAAAATCAAAATATCCACTGGCTGAAATTCCAAGATCTTTCAGTCATAAATAGATCCTTCTCATTTTCCCATCTGCACCCAACGTAATTGCTGTGGTTGTATTTGGTTTATATTTTGTTTATTTTGACATCAAACAGCTTTTAGGCACGGTCCACTTATAATGTAGATGTAACTCAGCGTCTTGTGTGGCGCATGCATATCCCCCAATATTAAACACCCGATAACTGTTAGTATTTTCGCAGTTTTATCGGAATGGCCACAACTGTTACAAAAACAGCAACGCTGTCGAGATGTTTTCCTTAACAACTCGGCTCCTAGTATCCTCGTATCACATCGCGATACCAAAATATTTTATTGGCCTTTTATGACAAAATCATTTAGGAGATGAAATTAGGGTGAAATCCTGTTAAAATGCCCGCGTTTTCCGAAGAGGATTTCAGTGAGCTGGGTATATATTAACCAGATACGCTCCTTTTCTCTATGCTTGAGTTCGAACGCGTTTATAGGAGATCTCCACAGGGAAATTGAGGGGCCGAGTATTATCATATTATCCAGACCCTGACCCTGCAAACCGTGATGAAATAGTCCCCGGGGGTTAGGGTTCGGCTAAATGTTTCAGTGTTGAAATTGAGAAGGAGATTCTAACAGGCCGTCTCGTTTCCCATCCTCCGGGATCCATTTAAATGTGTATCGGGGGACAGTTGTAATATGATACTGGAAAAAATGATTATTTTTGACAGAAATAAATAACTTGAACGTTAGATATTTCCGGAAGATTATCGAATTCTCCTTATCTTTCTTTGCTCGAAGCAGGAAATCATTTGATTAGATGAATTTGTGTTCGACTTGAGCTGAAAGTATTTTGTTTTCCATTCAAACGTGTATTTTCAGCCCGACTAAAACAATAATCTATTGATTAAATTGTTGGACTTGATAAAGTGAATCATTTAAACAATGTAATTAATTTTAGATGTTGCAGATAATTTTGAATATTTTCTAAAGATTACAATCAAGCCGTATGAGTGAATAATAAATTATTTAAAACCACAAATTCTATTTAATTCAGATTATTTCAACATTGATTTAAATAATCAAATATTTAACACACGTAAACAAATTATTGATTAATTTATTACAGATTGATGTCGTAACTCAAACTGTGTCCGAATTTTTATGATTGAAATATTAAACTTCAAAAACAAATATTTACATAATCGAGAAAAGCATATTACCATATCTTTACTGTATATTAAAATGGTGTTTGTTTTAAATAAATACATTATTATTTTGTTTTTATTTTCAGCAGTGGCCTCAAGCAGATTGGTAGAGTCAAATATCTAGGATGTGTTTTGTGTATATAGAGGAACAATTATTTCTGCAAAAATGGACTCTTTGGCGAAACACCTGTTTTCTATTGGAAATCCATCTACTGTGATCTCAGTGACGCACAAGCATATCTAAGGTGAGTCCTTTAATTTTAATTCCAAATAAATTAAAATTTCTTCACAATACAATTAGTAGTGCATACTTAACTTCGGAGAAATATTAGGCTTGTTATTTCGAAGGTTTACTTCCTCATGTGGAAAGAAGATAAGATTACTTGAGATATCATTTTAGGAGGTAATGTATTGGAAAGAAGAAACAGGAAAGTTTATATGTCACTGTTTTTAATAATCTAGACGGCGTAGTGTGAGTGTTTTAATTTTACACAATATAATCAGAATGTACGGAGTCAGAAAACAATGGGCAATGCTTCTTCAAATCGACTTTGAATTTTTAGAATTCTTTTAAAATTACCTCTAAACCCAACTCATCCAAATTTAAGTTTTTAGCGTGTTTGAGACTTGACGTTGTTGATTTAGGATGACGGTGACGGGGGATGAATGTTTGTGTTGACCAGTGACTGGACAGTGGTCATGCCACGCACAGGGCTGAACCTGTCCGTGTTTTCCATGTTTTTCCAGTGATTTTACCAGTTTGCATTTATCTTGACAGACTTGTGCGATGACGGGTTCGGCGTATGGACACACACCCTGCAAACATAGACAGATGTGGACGGCTCACTTCATAGACAACTTTAAACAATGCCGCTACAAGAATTAGTCCTTCTGAGACAGGTGATTCCACTCCGGAACTTATCGGAGCTGATTCGGAGTGATCCAAACAGATTAGAGCCCTATCGCTACAGATTATGACCTTTGGTCAAACAGATACCAGACCGACTGAACGCTCTCGTGGTCAAAGCTCGTGCACTCAACTGAGATGTACATACTGGCCTTATCAGGCGCGTGGGACAGGTATTTGCTGCAAGACACGCCCGGGATCAAATCCAACGGGTGTGGAAAGGATTGACTTGGGGAGGGACGGGCGCTCTAGCCGTGTGAACACTGGCGCTGAAAACCTAACACGGCTCTGTGTGCAGTCTCAAGAAGACGAAGGTATTGTTCCCGCACGGATTGATGGCTGATGTTCCGACTTTGTTCAGCAGTGCCTCTTAGCCAGGGCTTTCAGTGCCAGACACCACATCCGGCGAGCTTGTCATATATGTACAATATACTGGTTGTAGCCAGTGGTCAAGCGGAAGCTGGACACTGTGACAGCTTGTGATCTACAGTGTCTGATTCGTGTAGTCCCAACGTGCTCGGGACGAGTCTCAAGTGCTATAAGACGTTGTCACAGTCGATCTGTCCCACAGTTGCATCAACATCCATCCAGACCTTCTCCAGAGTGCTAACGTCCTAAACACCCATTATTCCCCTAAATGACACTCGATACAATTCTATCTCCATTGTATTATTAAACCCAATGAAATACGCTGTATTGGCCTCAGGACATTTTTGTGGCCATACTCCTCATGCCCGGCAACCCAAAGAAAACCCCTTTTGTCCCAAATCCCCTTTCCAAAAGCCCCACAAACTGACTCCTAAGGGAGCGAACCCGTATGTTAAGTGATGCCTCTGACAGAAGGAAGCACTAGTTTATGGCATGGAATCGTTAGAAATCCCTCATTGTGATGTACATTTATTTGTAATTTTAAGCCATCAGTGTTTTATTCTGGGGAATACATCATCATTGATCGTACGGCTCTGTTCTCGTGTTTTCTTTGTCATACTCTTCAATCCGACACAATTGCGGTTTTAGTTCACCAAAGGTGACAGTTTTGCCCAACACATAGCTGCCAAACATATGCGGAGTGAGCCTTTTCACGTGGTTTAGTTCGTTATTCGGGTCAATGAATTTCAGCCAGAAGCATTTATACCCAAAGAAATATTCGGCACAGAGTTTTGAAAAGAACGTGCAACAGATGCTCAGAGGTTTAAAAACGTTGACACGACGGTTTTTAGTAAAAGAAAGAAGTATTATCCTTACTTAAGCTTAGAAAAACTATAAAGTGTGGTTGATGAATGCGAACCAAGGTTTCAAAAGCTACCATCGCTGTTACCAACTCTGTTGTCTCGAATTATTGTATAGTGATCCTTGACAACAATCACATATTATGCAGTGTATGTTAATATCGATCTGTCGAAACATGGTCACTATGTTTCTGGTCTTTTTTACTTAGTTCCTAAAGGATGGTGAATATATTATAAATTTACGAATAAACCCCTTTCCAAAGCAGCTCTGCCAAAACGAGTTGATGGCAAAAGTTCTACCATATCACGAATATACTTACATCGATCAGTTTATGCAAGAAATCATGCACAATCGTTCACATTATTCTTAAATTTATTGAAAAGGTTTCTACCCACAAAGGCACCCAAAGACAGTCACCCACACCCAAAGACAGTCACCCACACCCAAAGACACCCACACCCAAAGACAGCTACCCACACCCAAAGACAGTCACCCACACCCAAAGACCAACATCTCTGGTTCCAGAACTAGAGGCCGCAACATCTTTAAGACAACCCAAATTCAATCACAGATGTGAACTGCAGCTCAATCAGAGTTTCAAATTAAAAGTGATTATACGATATGTAATGGTCACCTCTTGGGTCTAACCATCTCAGTGTGTCAAACAACACTCGCCAGAAGTTGGATGACGAAAGTAATTAAAGTGTTTGTCTTTGGGGTAAGCGGCTGTTGTCCTCGCCCCTTGAGTCTCGGGCTGTCAAAATCTCGCGCGATCTTGGCATGTGGGCTTTTGGTTCGTGGCGACGTGAGACACGAAGAGACAGATATGATGTTTGTAAATGTTACACACGCACACCTCTAGAGGCATGCGTAATTATCCGGTAAACAAGCCAAGACAAAATGGACTGTATAATGAATGGATAAATGAGTTTGGAAACACAACACATCTGGTATTTGTTAGATTTCCAACTTCGTAATGAAACAGCACCCGGAAGTTAGTCCGTTGACAATACACGACAGCGTCCATGTTGTGTGCATCTACTTCCACACTCTGGCTGAAAATGGAAAAAGAAAAAAAAATCAACATTATTTTCATCCGAATGAACCAAGCAGTGGCTCTTTTTCAAATATCAATTTACATTTTAAACTTTGAAACTGAAATGGACTTCAGACATCAGACATACGTAAGTTGGATCTTTGAACGAACGTGAACATTGAATACGTCTTAATTGTCACAGTCAATTAAAACTACATTTACAAAATATACTGAACCTTGCCGTGAAAGGTACTTTGTAAAACGTCAAAACAAACCTGAAGAATAGAGATAACATAATTTGTCATTGAATATTGTTCAGGCGCATAGTGGGCGTGGTCATATTGATTATAGTCAAGAAGTAACTTGATTTTACAGTGATCCATTCGTATACTTTTCACCGTTATTGAGGAGTTATGCTTTAGCATTGACTTTTTCTATGGAATATCAATCACAATAACAATAGCAATAACAATGCTTACAATAAGGAACAGTACATGGTCCAACAACACCCCAGTAACCCCATGTTGGGTCGCCATGGTAACTATGGAGAGATTCAACGCGGAACAGCAACGAACTTTATTTTAGGTTTTGGGTTAACCTTGAGACAGACTTCCAAATGATGAAATTCTTCAACGAAACAGGATCACTTCGAACGATTCTTCTAAGAAATGATATATTGGCAATATATTGTTTTAAACACGATATCCTAGTTGTATGGTGTAGTTTTGTATATGATATTATAGTGTATGGTGTAGTTCTATGCCACTTGTAACTTGAACAGAACCATTGCTGTGATGTAAATAAGTAGTCAACAGCGTTATCGATTGACTTCCTGAAATTACTCGAAAGGATACGGAGATCCACATGGTCAATTTCGTCACACAGAAATACTAACCGATGGTTTATAGATCGATTTGAGATGACGAAGTCTAAGTGGTGTCCTTCCTAAGGAGCTGAGAATGATCTGTTGAGCGGAGCATACACCCGTACACATAGGGCCATACAACTATACAAATACTACTACTACTACTACAACAACAACAACTACTATTACTACGACCACTACTACTACTACTACTACTACTACCACTACTACTATTATTATTACTACTACTACTACTACTATAACTACTGCTACTTCTACTACTATAACTACTACTACTACTACTACAACAACAACATCAACAACAACTACTACTACTACGACCACTACTACTATTACTACTACTACTACTACTGCTGCTGCTGCTGCTGCTACTGCTACTACTACTACTACTACTGCTGCTGCTGCTGCTACTACTACTACTACTACTACTACTGCTGCTGCTGCTGCTGCTACTACTACTACTACTACTACTGCTACTACCACCACCAAACCACTACGACTACGACTACTACTGCCACCGAGTAAAACCTAGACAGCATAAAGGACAATCTGGGTTCACAAATGGGAACCTGGAAAGAACACCGTCAATGATCATAAACACGTGTCTCATCAACGTGTTATAAATGATAATTTATGGACAATCCGGATACTTTCTGCACGTATCCGACCTCCCTTAGAGTGACTGGTTCAGTGAGTGTTCTGTGCTCTGAGGTAAACACTATGTTCTCACGTCATTACCTGTAGCATTCAAACATCACTACAGTGAGGATTAGCCTTCTTGCTCTAGTCTGTCTCACAGTGCTAGTCTGTCTCACAGTGCTAGTCTGTCTCACAGTCCCTGAACAACATCAATTCCCCTACTGCCTAGCCCTCCCTACAATGCTAAAGCCTAAATGAAGCAAGTCTAGATTCCCCCAGGTTCTGAATCTCCCAACTCACTGGGGCTCCTTTTCCATTTAGATGGGATTATTTGTTACTATCAACATTATATATATTCAGGAACTAGGTGTTAGTCTATTCTTAACCTTGCTGATTATGGACTCGCTTATAACGAAGTGGTGTTGAAGAGCCACTAACGTTCGGACATGAAGGGCGAACCATATGACTATTGCCGCCGAGTTACTCTGGGGTGTTCGCATATTTCGAACTCGTGCAAAAAAAACATACTTTACCAATTAAGTGAAATACAACTGCGCCCGTTGTGCAACTCGACAATTTTCTTTCCAATAAAAAATAGTATAAAATGAAAAAGTCTGTTCTTGTAGTTAATTTATGAAAAAAACACACCCTCTGCAAAATACGCAACATGTTTAATTTTTAATACAGCTAGGTGTTTCTAAAACCCGGAATACTCCAATGCACAATATGGAAATAATCCATTATTCAGTATTGTTACAAATCTGTAAAATCACAAAACACACGCCAGAAGTCAGTCTTCTCTGAAAATTGCGTGTACAGATGAAAGCAATGTCAAGCTTTCAAGTAAAAGGTAAACAAATCCAAGCTTCAATAGAATCTAAGGTGTTGGCTCGCACAATATCAAGCGTGCTTCCATCAAAAGTTTAAAAATCACTTTAAGAGAAACCGTATTCAATTCGTATGAGTAATCAACGACAATTGAATAAACTTCAGACGTGTTTAGCGATGCTGTTTTGATAATCTCTGAGTGCATCTGAAATCAAAAGTTCACCAACAGTATTTAACGGGGATCATTCACAGTCGTAATTGTCTTGTAAAGAAAAGTGCCGATGCAAACGTGATCTGGATTGAAACAAATTAATTAAAAATCAAATATTTTCACTTTTAATGTTCCATGAATCTCCTGGTTGTTAGCCCATCAATTACCCTATGGGGTCCGCCATGGACATGGTATTTGCCCAGTTAAACCACCAGCTTTGAAGTTGTACCTCCGATTCACAAGTCCAGTGTACTGTGACACCGTGAAAGAGAACAGAGAGTTAGCATGTAGACATAAGGGTGTTCTTGGTTGCCCCCATCCTGGGTGGTTTACTGAATCAGACTCGTCTAATGGGCTTCACAGATTTACGCGGAGAAAAGAGACACAATTGAATAATTTGAGCTATTTTGATACTCCGCCGAAAAACATCGTGCGTACATGACAAGGTAGTGAATAAGGGTCTGTGCTTTGATCCTTTGTATTATTTCGTTTCAATGGTGTGTTTTCAGTGCTAAAGCAAACGATTGCAGGGTATCGTAATGGGGGCACCTGCGATGCCTACTTCTTTAGTTTGCCTGCTGTTCAGAACGTGCCACAGCCTCGTTTTCGGCTCATCAGCCAACGCGCACGCTCACAATGGCGTCATGATACGAGCTCGCACTCACGTGAGATCTCGTGGGTTTTGAGAGACAGATCGAGGACTTGTAGGACTTCTTGTTCGATGCCGATGTTGCAGCAGTGACGTGTGCGGGGCATTGTTTGTAATTGCCAAGTGTGTTTAATGTTTAGCAAGATGCGACACAGAACTCTTTGATGTCGCGATCTTCGTCTGCGCTGCTTGTCTATGGGGTCCGCATTCCAGGGGGCAAGGGGCGAAACTTCGTGCTTTCTGACTCCTAGAATGAACATGATAGATTTCTCAGTCGGTATAAAACGAGAAGAAGACTTGTGGAGCCCTGGAAAACCCTTGGTGTAAAACTAAAGGTCAAACGGGGAACTTTTTTTCAAGGTGATTTGAACCAGTGTAGGGAATTGTAACATTACCTCCTCTCAAGTATCGTGACCCCTTCTGAACAGGTGCCATCCTTAACGTGGTTCATTATAACAAGGATGTTAAAAGAATTTGA